AACAATTCTATAAATTTGCTCATGAAGTTCATAAGTGTCCTAGAAAGGGTAAAATATTAATCGAATAATAGAGGGAAGTTCAGGAAGATATTTAAATGCTTCATTAAAGAGGTGTTCAGGAAATGATACACAATTGATTTTAAAAATAAAGAGCTTTCATCAAATTTAAGGCTAATTTCCAGATTAATGATAGATAAGTGTCATAATGGCAAAATATATGCTGCATTAGTAGGTTTAATTCCCGTTTGGGGTTAAGATAAGAGCAAAGCGAGGTAAAAACTACAATCAACTCTGAATGAACAGACATTTTGGGAGGCAAGTCTTCTAACACCTGATACCTAGGGTGATTTCAACTATTATTCTATGTCTCCTGATAATCTAGAATCACACTAACTGTCATCGGAAGTATTTGCCCTTAGCTAAAGTAACAATTTTTCATAAAGGAATAATACCAATGGGTAACTAATATGCAAACAGTAAGGAATTAGAAGAAGATTTGCATAAAAGTGGCTACCTCAACTGTTCGTCTAAAGTTTCTGCCACTCCAGTCGAGTCCGACGCTGCATAGGCCAAGCAGAGATTACGCACGCGAGCAGAAGACCACAGACGACTGTGGAGTTGCAGTGCCTTTATATTAGCTGATAGGCGGGCTAACCAAGTTTTGAGGAGAACATCAAGTCTACGAGCAGGGGCAAGGCCAGAGAGCGGCAAGCCTTCGATGTAGTGCGAAAGAACGACTTGATTTAGTCCAGAATAGCAAGATTCAGGCTTGTCTATCTTCCCAATTTGGTGATTGTGCCAAGTAGAACTATTCGATGCGGTCGAACTCACGGGTTTACCAAAGTGAGAAGTTCGAAAGCGATGTGTTTCGATCATTCCGGCCGCATAACTTGGTGGGATCCATTTGGGTTGCTCAATGCGACGTTGAAGAGCCGCCAAAAGTGTAGACTTGCCACATCCCGGCCTACCTGTGAGCAAGAGTATTCCCCCTTCGTGACCTAGCAAATAAAGAAAGGAAAGCTCAGAACTAGAAATCCAAGAAAGTTTATTTTTCGAATTAAGTATTGTTTTCGTGACTACCAATAAATCAGTAATATGAGATGTATTCAACCAATTTCGTATAAGGTGATGAAGGACTGGTAAAGG